CTCTAAAACACATTTGTGGGTAGGAATGCTGTTTAGGTATTAAAACATTTATGCACTATTAATAATAATAATCTCATGCCCTGAGATGGGTTGGCGCCCCATCCTGGGTTGTTCCCTGCCTTGCACCCGTAGCCCCTGGGATAGACTCCTGACCCCCCCGTGACCCTGAGTAGGACAAGAAGCTACAGAAAATGGATGGATAATAATCTTTATTTAAACGGCATTTTTCATACATGGAGTGTATGAAAGAGCTTCAGAGTCAAAGTGCTTCAGATTATGTGAATAAAATAAGAGCAGAGAGGCAGCTAACGTACAGGTCAATGAAATTATAGAAAGACGGAATACATCTAAATAACATAAATAAGCGAGATTAAATAAAAGCTAAACGCAAATAAAGAAATAAAATACCATAACATATAAAGGAATGAAAAGGTTAAAGTTATAAGCCAATAATTTCATATTTTATGGATGTTAGTGATAATTGCTTATATACTTTTGTTGCTTTATATATTAATGAAAGCCCCCTGAAATGTCGCATCCGTACAGTTATGCATGGTGTCCCCCACCCTGCTTTGGTCGTGAAGCATCGTCCTGTTGCGACGACGATCTTACGAATGGAAATTCGCCGGCGACACGTCTGCATTAGTGCTGAGGTGGCAGAATCGCAGCCGCCAGCCCATGTTTCACAACGCCACATCTCAGGATGTGCGTAATGATGCGAGTTGTGCCGCAGCAGCGTCACGTTTAAAACGATTTGTTTTTTTATTTATTTATTTATTTAAAGACTCTGACTCATGTTTGAGTGACACGCTGCTGTCTCGCAGTACGGGCTGGCTGACTACATGCGGCAGTCTGCAAGCCATGCGCTGAAGGCTGTGTGTCAGCCCCAAAGTTTATCGCTGAATAAAGAGGCTTTTTCTGCTGCTCCTGTCACTGGGACTCTCCTGATGGTGTCGCTGGCATAGGCAGGTTTTGGATCCTCAAAAAACATATTTGATAAAAAATAAAGAGATGTGGATCTGAGCAGCGCAGTGGCCGAGTTACCCACAAGCCCTGGACACTCGCGTCTGTCTTGGTCTGCCTGCCTCTGTATCTGTCTCTGCCTCAGTCTCTGCCACATTCTTTGTCTGCCTCAGCCTCAGTTTCTGTCTGGCTCTTTCTGTCTGCTTCTGTCTCTTTCAGCTTCTCTCTCTCCATCAGCCTCTGTCTGTCTCTCTGACATCTTTCTGGCCAGCTGTTTGTCTCTCTCTCTGCCTGTTTGTGTCTCTTTCTATTAGCCTCTGTGTCTTTCTGACAGCCTCTGTCTGTCTCTCTCTGTCAGTCTCTGTCTCTTTCTGTCAGCCTCTGTCTCTCTTTCTATCAATTTGTCTGTCTCGCCTTCTGACAGCTTCTGTCTGCCTCTCTATCAGTCTCTGTGTCTCTTTCTGACAGCCCTGTTTCCGACCGCCTCTGTCTGCCTCTGTCTGTCTTTCTGTCTGCCTCTGTCTGTCTTTCTGTCTGCCTCTGTCTGTCTTTCTGTCTGCCTCTGTCTGTCTTTCTGTCTGCCTCTCTGTCTCTGTGTCACATTCCTCTTTTCCAAGGTAACACTCCCGCGCAGCGCTAACGCGTTGATTAGTCACACATTTCGGAGTCCCGCTCTTCGTGAAGTGTGTGTGCACTAGGTGTCACCGTGGCGCGTCAGGCAGCAGGATGCCGCTAAAGGCAGCCGCAGATGTGAAGAAAAGGCGCTTTAAGGCTTTGGGCTCCAGCTCGAGCAGGGGTTCGGTTCGACATGCTTCTCTGTCCCTCCTCCCTTCCTTGTGTGAGTCTGGTGGATCAAACTTCACTAGTTTAAACATAAAAAACAGTGTGAAATACCTGAAAACTTCAGGACAAGGAAAGCAGGCAGAGTTTACAGTGTCTCTGAACTGTCTTTGTCAGTGAAAGTCGTCTTTTATCAGCTAAAAAAAAAGAGAAAAGTCGGATCAGCTCCTGTGCTGTCGTATCTGCACTGTCCTGGTATCTGCTCCTCACCGGCGTGTGGTTTTCCCGTCTGTCCGGCTCTCTCCGTTCGGTAAAGCCCGTAAGCCGGGTGGGTGTCCTTGCACCCCCTGACACCATGGCAACAGGAAAGATGGGTTGAAAATGCAAGCAGTAAGCACAGGGGGTGAAAGGGTAAGGTTGGGGTATAGACCCCCATGACAGGAGCGTGTGCATCAGAAGTAGGTCATGTTGTCAGAGGCATGTGTCAGCAGGGGTGGTGAATGCCTATGCATATGTAGTGAAAAGGTGGGTGGGGGTCGGGACACTGGGGGAGGGGATCACCCCCCCTTGGCTCTCTGTCTGTACTAAGGGCTGCTGGGAGGGCTTGCCTCGCAGACGGTGGAATTTCTAACTATGAGCTTTTCGTTTTTTTCCATCCTAAATTGAGTTAATGGTAATTATTGGGCAGGATCTGTGACTGACTGTGCTGTCCCCAGTACGTGGTTGCTGTCCCCAGTACGTGGTTGCTGTCCCCAGTACGTGGTTGCTGTTCCGTGACACGGCTGCACTCCAACCCTCCGATGGACCATCCCAAGCATGAGGTCCCCAGTGTCCCTGTTTCCTGCTACCTGCTCGATTCACTGTACTCCTTCACAGCACTTCTTCACTGCAATCATTCGTAGCACTAATTCACTGCAGTCTTTCACTACACTCCTTCACTACACTCCTTCACTGCACTCGTTCATAGCACTCTTTTACTTCATGTCTTCACGGCACCCCTTCACAGCACTTATTTACTCCACTCCTTCACTGCATTTACTTCACAGCATTCCATCGTGGCACTCCTTAACTACACTTCTTCACTGCACTCATTCGTGGCACTCCTTCACTGCAGTCTTTCACTACACTCCTTCACTGTGCTCATTCATTGCACTCTTTTACTACACGTCTTCACGACACTCATTCACTCATTCCTTCACTGCACTTCTTAACTACACGTTTTGTTGGATACTCCTTCCCTGAAAATGCAGATGGCTGCTGCTTTACTTAGTCGGGAGTGAGACACCCTTCTCGGTGTACACACTGTCATGAAAGTGTGCTACGCACTCACTCCCTTTACAGCCACTTTACTCACTTCCCTTTACAGTGAATTGCAGTGGAGGACAGTGTCATTTTGGACTCATAACCTCAAGGAGGAGGAGTGCAAGGATAAAAGACATTAGGCAGGAAGGAGCAGAGGTGGGTGGTTTCAGGGAAAAACAGGGAAAAAAGATGAATATACCACAGAAAGTATATCAGAGAAGAAGTTGGATTATGAAGGAGAGGCTTCCTTGTCAGGTTTGAAATAAGTAACCCCCAGCTATCTGAAAAAAGGCCTCCCTTCCGGTCTAAGCCTGCTTAAACAGCAACCTCCCTCAGTAGGCCTCAGTGATGCTGATAGCCTCCAGTAACAGGGTGCCCCACCTTTGAAAAATGGAGATTACGCTGCTTGGTAAAGCACATGTAGGGAAATGCAAATATAGACTAACTGCTCCTAGTAGAAGCTTAATCTCCGGTGAAGTTTGCATTACCACGTAACCGCGGCGTGGTTATTACAATTAGGGTCTCTGCACTAGTGAAATATTGACCTCATAACATGGTCCTCCAGATTGATCTTCCGTATTTAATGTGTGTGTTTTCTCCCCCATCAATGAACGCATTATTGGGTTGGCAGTTTGCCCCCCCTCCCCCGCGTTCTCTGGTGAGAGACGTCTCTCTTGTACCATCTCTGTCATGAATGAAGCGTTAATGCAGCAATGCATTGTGGGTTAGTGCTGATTATGACGGGGAGTCTTGGGGTGGCTGGCGGAGTAGCCTGCTGTTTACTCTGCGGTAATTTAACACCGTTAAGGTGCCTTCAGTGACTGATGATGGATGAGTTTTGTGCTCTTTGCTCCCCGGGCGTCTCTCAGCAGTGACATGGGCGTCATGCGCCCCCCCGCCTGGTCTCCCCCCGTGAGATTGTCAGCAGCTTCAGTGCCTCATGATGGGCAGCGGAGCTATTTACCACCACTCGAACCACGCATTTGTGTGGGACCCCCGAGGTTTGGGGGCCCCCTGTTGGATACAAACTGTTACTACACTAGAGACCCATTTTTGAGTGGGGCCTTGGAAACGAGAAAGTCGCCCCTGATGGAAAACCCCGGGACGGGGGGGAAGGACCGTCTCTGAGTGCACAACGGAGGCCATCTCCAATGTACGGCTGATGATGCAGCCAGAGGCGTTTTGAAATTGCCAGTATGTGGCCCTGCGGTTACCGTGACGACCTCCTAGCATCTTACTGGTCATCAGTCAATGAGTATTCTGCACCCCCCCATCACGTCTTCATACCAAACTGCCTGTGTTACACTCTGTTTGTTCTTTTTGGAGAAGGGAGGGGAGACGCGACTTTGGTGAAGCAAGCCCATTGTGGGGGGTGGGGGGGGATTCAGAATTCCAGAAACAAACGTGTTCGACCACTGAGCTGCTGTTGACCAATGACATCATTCAGAGGGACAGAGCTGTCCAGCACCTGCCTGTCAGCCTCTTATTTTTCTCCAAGCATTATTATTCATCTTGTCTCTAAAAACACATTTACATTGTTTTCTTAATTATTATCATCGGTTTTCTTACAAGAAGATATGCGTGTATTTTTCACATCGCTATTGTAACTACACGTTACAATACGAATTAATAAAATTCCAGTGCGTAGCACAATGAACAGAACATAGACCAGTGTGCACTGACATTAAGCAGCAAGTTTTTCCATAAGGCCATAAAGGATTAGTAATTAAGGAATTACATTAGTTCGTCTCAAAGGTGCCAGTGGACCTAATCCAGTGATTACAGGCTCTGGGTCAGACTGTAGGCTTAAGAATATATTCTGTCGACCCACCACAGCGTTGGGGCGTCAAGCCCCACATCATGGCTAACTTTTAACCGCTAATTGCTGCTTGTTTGAGTTGCTGATTAATTTTCTCTCTCTCTCTCTCTCTTTTTCTCTCTCTCTCCTCCAACAGGAGTGGGTGACTTCCTGTCAGAACAGCACCATGCCGGGCGGGTCGGGTCATTCGTGGACCCTGAGTGGCATCATGCTGAAGTTGCTGTCTGTGGGGGTTGCCCTGATGGCCGTCGCTCTCGCCGTCACCATGAAGCTCTGGTGAAGCCCCCAGCATATTCGCCCCCCCCATGCTAAACTGGAAGGGAGAGCTCTGACTGTCAGATATTTATTTTGTTTTTAACAAAAAAATATGAGGGACATGAGATTATCTTTTTGGTAATGAGTTCCCATAAAAGTAGGCCATCCTATTTCAAAAAACACTTTGTAATGTTTGTTCAAAGACTGTTTTCCATTGCTTTTAATCGCAGTCTGTATACCCCCCCACCCACAACAGCAAACACTGATATTAGATTCTTTTTTTAAATCTTAGCCGTGTTTTATTTTCAGAAGCATATTGTCTTACCTTGATAGTTCCTCATATTTTCTGCCTCTTTTTGAAAACTTACGGCATCCAATACAAGCCGATTTCACACAATCCTTTACTGCCTCTTGTCTTTTATGTTGCTTCTGATTCATGTCCCTGTAGGACAGCTGCTGATGTGTTTTGAGTTCTCATCCACTCTCTGTTACATGCTGGTGTTCTCTATCAGGCTATATCCCTGCCATCAATAATGTATCAAACCTCTGTCCAGGTTTAAATTTCACCCTGTTACACTGTGACACACTGCTTGATACATTGTGCTGTATCTTCTCTGGCTTTAATTTTGGTTGCCCAAACACCATGAGGACCAGATATGTTTAGCTACAAGCTAATTAGCTGCACGCTAATGTGTGATTAGCGTGAAACTTTTGAGTTATCCATGAACTGTCCTCCATTCCCCGCTTCGGTTCATGCAGGATTCGAGTCCCACCCTGGTGGTTAGTAATTTCTAATCCTCTCTAACTGCTGTGAAAAAGGCAAATGTGTTTATGGTCTGACTTCACGATTTAATTAGCAACTGGGCTGATACCTGGCAAATGAAATTTAATGTAGATAAATGTAAGGTAATCCATGCAGGGAGCCGAAATATAAAGTACAGATATTTTATGGGTTCCACGGAAATAAAGGTAGCTAATTGTGAGAGAGACCTTGGTGTGTATGTTGATGCTTCCATGTCCCACTCTCACCAGTGTGGCATTGCTGCCTTGGAAAGGGTTCAACGTAGGGCTACAAGAATGATTCCTGGTCTTAGAGGAATGTCTTATGAGAAGAGGTTAGCTGAGCTGAATCTGTTTAACCTCAAGCAAAGGAGACTAAGGGGGGACATGATCCAGGTATATAAGATTCTAACAGGTCTGGATGCTGTTCAGACAAATGACTATTTCAATATTAGTCTAAATACTAGAACTCGTGGCCATAGGTGGAAATTAGCGGGAGAATATTTTCAAATGAATTTGTGGAAGCACTTCTTTACACAGCGTTTAGTTAGAGTATGGAATAGTCTTCCTGTTAGTGTAATACAAGCTAAAACCCTGGCTTCCTTTAAATCAGAGCTAGATAAGATTTTAACAAGTCTGAGCTATTAGTTAAGTTCTCCCCAAACGAGCTTGATGGGCCGAATGGCCTCCTCTCGTTTGTAAATTTCTTATGTTATTTCAACAGGCCACGTTGTTTGCCCAACACAGTGTCTGGAAAGGTGATGTTGTTTCCCCAGTTACAGTGATACTGGTGTGTAAGAGCAAATCAACAGCTTCACATGACCAGCTGGTCTTGCTCATATGTGTGTCACGGTTTCGTTTTTTTTTTATGCGATGAGTGGATACCGTCAGATGAACCGAAGGAATCCGACGTGTTTTATACGTATCTGTCACCTTAAGTAGAGCCCAGTGTGTGGTGATGCACCTCTATGTCCTGTTCTTTGTGATCTTATAGATGTTTTTCAACCTACACTCTGCTACCTTTGGACATTTTGTTTCCTCAAATGGGGTGGAGGGGGGGGACACTGATGGTTCATGTGATGGGTCATGGTACCGTTGAGAATCTGCTAGGTGTCACTCTGGATCATACTTCACATCCCACCAACGTACTCACTGGGCAGGACTTTGATGCATGCTTTAGCGTGACACGATGGACGGGGCGGGAGCAGAAGATGTCGGCCTCTGATGGAGGTGAGTGCCCTCGCCTCTGACACACAGCTGCTTTCCGGCACGTCGGCAGCTGGAGCTGGAGGTGGGAGACGCTACCCAGCAGGCTGTTAGCGCAGCCAGCAGCCCCTCAGCGTGACACCGTGTCTTATGAGGGGGTCCCACTGGGGCTCGGGGCTCCTTAAAGGGAAGAAGGTCCACAGTCTGAAGAGTCGTTTGTCAGCCAGGAGCCAAGGAAGAATCCCGGGAGAAAGGGAACGCCGACGGATTCTGCTGACGTTCCGTGTCAGACGGGTGGAAGCTGGTCTTCACTCCACTCAGCTGCTCCGCGGTACTTCTGGAATCTTCTAGCCTGTGTCTTGCCCCCTCCGTAGCACCCAGCTCCCATAATCCCGGCAGCTTGTTATTTTTTACTGCCTCCTTACCGGTTCCCGATCGTTGGGCTCCGCCGAGAGCACGTGGAATGACCCACACGCGTGTTCTTTTCATCACGCAGGTTCTTGGCTGCACTCCGCTACCTAATGAGCGCCGTTTCTCTGAGGATGTGACCTCGTTTGGGCAGATTCTCCTCTGATCTGGATTTCGAGACCAGCTTTGATACCTCCGGGTTTCCACAGGAAGGATGAGGATGGGGCAGCCAGTGAGCTTATATCCCTTTGTTTATATTTTTACAGAGAATAGACTGGGTTTCTCTTCTGTAGGCCTGTAGTGGGGATATTGGGTCATTAGAGCATTTTGGTGCATAAAAATACAGTCAGCTCCTATACAGTAGTTTGAGCTCATCTGTTAAGTATAAGAGATGTAATGATTTTTTTTTTCTGGTTGACAGGAAGTTGTTGAAGAGGCCAGCATAATTAATTAAGAATTTGACATATTTTCTGTTGACAGTGTGACAGCTATGAATTCTTAGAGGAGTCCGCTGTTTCTCTAAAACACCTTTAATTGACAGACCACATTATGTGACATGCTGAGTTTGGGACGGGAGGGGCAGAGATGGGATTGAGGGGGGGGCGGGGGCTCAGGCGGAGAGATCTGATTGGCAGGTGTAGTGGGGCTACGTGAGGGTACATCAAAACCCCTGTTTGTTCTGCATAAAAAGCCCAGCCAAGGGGGACTTGTCAGACCGGCAGGGAGCATTTGCTCCTTATTACTCCAGCGATGTTGGACATACATATGCATGTTGTGGACTTTGTGTGGGCTCTCGTAGGAAGGCGCCCCCTCTGGCCGCCATCCCATCCTCGTGTGTCGCGAACTTGCTACCTTTACAGTTCATCACGGGCACTGTGAGTTCATTCGCCCCAATGGCATTTTGCTGATAGATCCTTTCAGCAAGATTGTCACTTGGCTGCGTGAAAGCTGATTAGCTTATAAACACTGGGGTCTTTATTTCAGGGTGTGGTTATGTCTTTGTGTAGTGACCGACTCACTGTTTTTCAGCATCTGTACTTTGGGGGTGGGGGACATGAGTGTGTTTGATCACTGAGCCACTGCTGACGAATGGCGTCATTCAGGGGGGCTGAGCTATTCTGCACCTGTCTGTTTACCTCTCATTATTCCCACATTTGCTATTCATATTGCCTCTGAGTAAATATAGGAAATAGATCATATATTTCTTTGCTCATCCTTTTTGGATGTCATTATATACACATCGGTTCTCTTATTTTTACAAGTATCTGTCACATTGTTGCGAACAAAACGCGGACCAGTGTGCATTGATATTACACAGCAAATTCTTCAACAATGACAAAATGGATTAATAATTAAGGAATGATATTTTATGATTTGGTACGGTGGTGTATTCATGTGTAGAAACAGCCCCCCCTCCCCCCCAACCAATGATGCCCTACATGGGCCAGCTGTGCGCGTCCACGGTGTGGTGGCAGCTGGCTGCGTTAGCATTCTGCTGCGTGCTGTGCCTTTCAATGCATGCTGGTCGCCCCCCACCCTGCAGTGGAGCATCCGGGCCTGAGACGACACTGTAAGCCATAGGCAGCTTTCCGTCGCTCCCCCCCCTCCCCACCTCGGCTGGCCATGCCGCATAAGCATTTATTAAATTTCGCTGAAGGGCCAATCCCCCCAATACTGACCATAAGCACCTCCGGCATCCCTCTACAAATGTCATGGATTCGGAACGTACCATCTGAAAGTGGGTTGTAACAGTAATTTCTTCATGGAATAACCGTTTGTGGGAATATATTAAGTTCGACACGGTTGGTGCGTAAGCAGACGGCTTTGCCAGCCATTTATTTGATCTAAAAATCAGCAGTTGGCTTGAATTCCTGCTTGTTACTTGTGGCGTTATGGGAATGTTGAGCAGAACATGATGAAAATACTAACAATGTAACTGAATTTACTCATCTTTCTTTGTGATAAGCAGGCTTCGACGGAGTCTATGTTAGCAAGTCCACACCATTCGGGAAGTGTCCCAAACTACCACAGCACCTCCTAAACTGCAGTCCTTCTGCAAGCAAGTGATTTGGGAAAATGGCCATTGACACTAACGTGTTTGCTGGGAGTTAGTGCGTGTGTGTTCACATCCATTGGCCAGTCATGAAATCTGTAGCCTTCAAGATACATTATTCCCATTCCGGTGAGCTGGAACTTGATGACAATAGATAATCAGACCTGACGATCTTTAAGCCTCTCACCCACTGAGGGTCCATTCAGGGGCCTGTGATTCGTTCTGCGGATCCTCTTTGTATATGCTCTAACCTGCAAATTGAAAGCATCATGTAGTTCAATCAAACTCACCCACGTGGAGCACGCTCTTGATTTATTACGGAGATGCTTCACTTATTCATACTGAGGGTTAGCTCTGGAGGGCGAGATTCCTCTATTACCAACATCGATTGGAGAAAGGAAAGACAACCTTGATTTTGAGGCTTATCGCATGCTTGCAACCAACTTCATTGTGTATTTCTTTTTCTTTTTTTTTCTTTTTTATCTTATCAAAAACCACTAAATGAAATCTGACAGGATTCCAGGAAACGGAATACAGTAGTTGCCTGTGTCCGTGGTGATACATTCGAAGACCTAATCAAAGCTGGCAAAACTGTGGATAATAGCGAACCATCTGTGGACTCCATCCGTGGATTTTTGTGTACATACATATGGTAAAGTTGAATTGATAAATTATGTTGAGTACGACATTACCAATATTAAATACAATTATAATAAAGTGCATTGCACATTATTATACAGTATTGTACTTTCTTCATTCCATTTATTCTCTCAAATGAAAGAGATTCTGACTATTTACCCTAATTCTCAACAGATGATTTAAAAAAATTATGTATCAAGGGATGATAGAGCAATGAAAATCATGCTTTTTTTTACTCCTCAAAGGACGATGGAACAATGGAAAAAAATATTACACATTTTGCTATGAAAAATATTGCATCATGTACTTTGTA